TCGCGACAACAGGTTGCTCCACAGCATCCATACGCCGCGTGGCTCTGTCCCAGAAACAAGCGCCATTTTTTGAGCAGCTGCAATGAATTTTGGCTGATCCAGAATTGTGCCCACTTCCGGGACAGAGCCACACAGCCTAGGGATGCCGAGGGTTGGAGCAGCCTGCACAGTTCCCTCTCCCTCAGACTCTGCAAGCCCGTAACTGCTGTTCTATGAGCCACGTTTTGTTTGTATAAATTCTACGAACTAACCAAACGCACCTACTTACAGAAAAGAATACGTTGATGCTTACGTGAATTACATCTTCAATGAGTCCGTGAAGAAGCAGTTTGGGGACTTCGTGCGTGGATTTCAAAGAGGTTGCCCAAGTACAACGTGGAAAATGTTTCTTCCTGTTGAACTCCGCGGTATCCTGTTTGGAAACACCGCATATCAATGGGACCAATTGGAAAAGGTAGAATGTGCTCCTCTGCTGCAATCCTTATTACACTGGTCTTTATTCCAGGGTCCTTGTGGAACTTTCATTATTTTCCTCTTAATTTGTGGGAGGGCTGAATGTTGGGCGTAGATCTTGATTGGAACGAACTACCCCCAGAGATCAGGGTGATCCCGGATCTCCCTTCCTTCCGCCGCGCCCTCAAGACATTGCTATTTAGGCTGGCAGGACTGGCCTAAGGGGTATTTTTAGTTGGGTTTTAAAACAATTTTAAAACAACAAAGGCCAAATTAATATTTCCTTTTAATTACGTTTTAATGGTTGTATTTTTGTACTTTTGTATTTGTTTTTATTAGGCTGTTAGCCGCCCTGAGTCCGCAAGGAGAAGGGCGGGGTAAAAATATAATTAATAAATAAATAAATAAATAAATAAATATATATATATATATATATATATATATGTGAGTCTTTGGTCATTCGGGTTTTCTCCCGTGTAAGATTAGAAGTATCATAGCGACGTTTCGATGAAATCACATGATGAATGTGATTTCATCGAAACGTCGCTATGATACTTCTAATCTTACACGGGAG